TATGGGAGACAACTAGAAGTATTTTAGAAATAACTCGAGATTTACACAAGTATCGCGATATTTCAAAAATGAATTCCCGATAGCGAATATCTATTTTTAGATCGCACCGCCAACTCAGCTTACAAAATTTCCACTAGATTCTCGATTGCTAGATTCTTTGATTTAGTTTCTGCTAGAGATCAAGATTCTAGGCTAGATTTAGATCTATCTTTTAGATCTTTTTTAAACATATTGTAGTCAGTGCCCAAATTGATCATTCAAGAATCTATAGAGTTTGGATTATAACCTAAACCAAAAAGAAAATTCCAAGAATTCAGAAGGTTGTTTAATGTTTATAGTAAAATAAGTTATAGTTTATAATATTTATTATTTAATATATTTATTACTAGATTCTAGATCTAGATCTAATAGAATAGATCTAATACTGATAAATAGTTAATTTAATAATAGATATAGCCAGCCTATGCCTAATATAAATATTGCCTAATAATAGGGCCTAATAATATTAAATTATTAATAGTATAAATTTAAAATTAGGCTTAATAATAGTTACTAATAGTCAATAGTTAATAGGCAGATCTATAATTTTAATTTATTTATTATTTTTTAGGCTATTTAATATTTTAATATACAGTAGTTATAGTACAGTACAGAGTGAGAGTACAGAGGTAAACCTACTTAATAGATCTAAAATCCTCAATCTATATTCACGAGTAATGAGTATATTCTCTTTTGATAAGTCAATGCAGTAATTAAATTGTTTTGATCAAAATAATGTATTATTTGATCTTTAATAGATGTATAAATGATGTATTCCTTCTTCCTCCTCCTCCCCACCCCCAAACAGTGAACACACAGAAAACAGCAAAGAAAAAGAAATGTCCAACCGTATAACCGAACCTGCTGATGCTAATGAGTGTCCTTTGTTCCACTGTAAATACTTGGGATCTAGAAATGTTGCAGAAGGTGTTAACTTAGATTCTTTACAAGAGCCCCTAAGAGATATATATGTCGAATCATATAATGGTGAAAACTTGGAAAAGAATGATGTAGTTACAGTGAAGGAAGATGACATTGTCTTCAATGAAGGACAGTTAAATGAAAACAAGTTTCCTTTTACAAGTGTTGTGCTTGTTGAATCTGTCAAGTTTATAGTTAAAAATAACAACAGAGGAGTTTTTGACTACATTGATGAAAGCAAAAATCCTGTTAATAATGCGTATGCCTTCACCTTAAGTGCAGACTTACAGAATGTAGCAGGCTCACATAATCCTCTGATCTGCGTAGTTACAAATGATTCCCGTTGTCATGTTTTTGCTCTAGATCACGATCATGATGTATTGCATTTAGCAGCTTTGATTGGCTATAAAATTGCAGGTTAATTTTTAAAATTTTCTTTTGGAAAAATTAAAAAGTCGCAAACACTCAATTTTAATGCCAATACATTTTACAATGTGACAACATCTTTATTATGGTGCCTTTAAGATTTAAAAATAAATTCAAATAAATCAAACTATGTAGTATCAAGGCAAATATTTTGATAAGAAAATTGGATACATTTTTTTACAAGAACCATTATTTTTAAATTCTTTACATCACAAAACAATAGTCATAATCGAGCCTGCTAAAATGAATACTTGCTATTAATATTTGGCCTGGTTAGTAGGATTATAGGTCTGTTAGTGTTTATTTGCATTTAATATTTAGTGGGAGTTATATATATATTTTTTGTATTGTTAATTCTTATTTTACATTTAATTATATAATAACATGACTGGTGGTATTTCTTTTAAATTTTTATTAATTAGAAATGTTACTCTTTTTTGTAGCAAACTTTATTACCTTTATTGGTGATTATATAAAAGTAATTTCAATATCTTTTACTGTCTCATTTAGACCATAAACATTTTTACAACTAGGTCTACAGAGTACTGATCTAAGTGGAATAAAACTTATTTCAAATAAACATTTTGTAAATTACTTTGACAATTTTTAATGAGTAAAATAATTCAAAAAGGTTAATATTGTTGAAATTTCAGACTATATTCTCATTAGTTTGACCCAGCTAGCTAGCTTAAAGATCCATTTATTTGGAATGAAAACAATATAAAAACCTAGAACAAATACACAATTTTGTTTGATTTAAAAAAAAATACATAACCAAACACATAATCATAAGGGTTTGTGCAATAGCAACATTTAGAATTTATAGATGAAAAAATAATTGATGAACTTTTTATTATAATGTAACTTTGTTGTATTTAAGATAGTTATTAATCTAATAAGGCCGATACAGTAGTTGGAATACAGGTTTTGAGCTATAGGAAATTGCCCCTGAGAATTCTAGTGAGCTCTTGCTTATTCCAACAGGAATGATGTGGGATGATGGTGCTCATGCAGTATAGTTATAGATAGAATAGTAGTGTGGTTTATACCCAAGTCCTGTCATTGACTGCTCAACAGATTGATCCTACTGCCCTCGATTCTAATGTTGAAAAGATATGTTAATGTAATACCTGCAATCATCATTCGTGCCCAAGACACATGAGCATAGATTTCATCTGCTTCAGAGACCTCTGCATAGGATGGGATAGCGTTTTCAGCACTATGCTTATCCGCCTTAGTTTCCCTAACGTCAGGTACCCATCAGTGCTGGTTGGACTAAGCCACGTTCCACTGATTTGAACCTGGATTCAAACTCGAGACTCTTGGGTTAGCAATCTAGGTGTCTACTGCTAGGCCATGCCATCCCATAACCTTTGCAATAGTTTAATATTCAACAGAGTAGGGCTTACAGTAGCAAAATAATTTATTTTCAGATATAAATGTTTTTTGTTAGACATGTTTTTTCTCTAATGGTGTGATGGAATCCCCCCAAATAATTCAACATGGTTTTTTTTGTGTGCCATGGGAATAAACTTTATGGTGTTTTGCCATATTGATCACTATTGTTTTGTTGATATCTTTTTTCTTGGAAATTAAACCTAGCTAAGAATAAATGACTTATTTTTAGAACATAATTATTTTGAATATTTCTGGCTGTTAAATTTATAGTTTATAGTTTGTAAATAAGAAATTTCTGTTTGATTGTAATAGCATTTTGTAGCTAAAATATTATCAACAGGAAAAAAAATTATTTCTGAAGAAATTGTAATTTAGTTTTTTGTCTTGTGTAATGACTTTTTAATTAGCTTATAGTATAGATCTAAATAATTAATTAAAAATCTCATTTTTCTACCCAAATTTTTAATTTGTCATTGCTTATATGTTTCATCCTTAAACCTTCTTGTTGGTGCTTGACATTTTGATGGTTTTTATTTGCATACTATTGTCTTTTACACATCAGTCTGATATTTCAAAAATATTTTTTACACAAAGTATTTACACTGTAATACTAAGTACCATTTTTATGTAGCAATATTAAAAATTTGTAGTATTCGTGTAATGTTTTTTTTTGTTGGACTGGATATTAATTCTAAATTTTAATTAATGTACTGAACAACGCCATACTGACACTAAAATTTAGTTAGAACTTTAAAAAAAAATTAAATTTCTTTACTTCTACAATGAATTACTGTCATTATTAAGTCATAAATTAAATAGACAGTTTTTAAATTTAAATTATTATTTGTTTTAGAAAATGTTTTACTTTGAGCTTACTATCTTTTTAATTTATTGTGAAATAAAAGGAGGAGCAAAAAATTGTTTTCTGTCATTGTTTACAATTAGTGGTACATTTCTTTTTTTTTTTACACAAACTTAAAAATAAAACAAAATGGGAGGGATGATGTTGAAATTAGAGGGAAAAAAAAACAAGGCAGGATAGAAGCAGGCATCAAAATAAAGATGGGAAAGGCAAGAACAGCCTTCAAACAATTAAAAAATGTTTAGGGTTCTGAATAAAAATCCACTCTATAGATGAGACATGGAGAATAACTCACAAATATGAAGAAAATACAATCATATTGTAACATTCCTCAGAAAGATACTTTGAATACGCTTGGTACAATGAGGTACGATGGCAGTGGACAAACCAAATGCCAGGTGTAGCAGAGATGGATTTGCCACACAAGCATAACAAGACAGGCCTTCCCCTGGAGTCCACAGTGGAAAAGAGGCCAACCATGGTAAAGACCTGGAGACGTGACCTGGAAGATTTGACTAAGAAGATTTGATGCACTTGAACACAGTTGGAGAGATGATACTAGGACAGAAATGCAAGTAAAGCTCTTATCAGCGGCCTAGGTCCAGGGAGGTCAATAGGCCAACCTAATCCTTCTCACATGGGACAATATGGCATGTTTGTGTGCATTGGCTGTCACATACTCTTCATTATTTAATCATGACTTACATGTGTGGAAAGCAAATTGAACATATATTATTATATTATTGTATTTGGCCTCAGTTACTGACCCTTTTTATAATTTTCTAATGTGAAGCAAAAAATAAAAACAACTCATTTTAGACTTCATTATAGATCTTAGAGTTTATTTGTTTGTAGAAACAAGGAATCTGAATAGATTGTGCATTATGCATGCAGTCTACTATATCTCCCAGGGTGTAGCATACATTTAATTTTATTACTCTCATTCAAACTGTAAAAGAAATGGGAAAGGACCGGCCTCTTCAACCACTCATTATAAACTATTAATTGATTAGAACACAAAGGTAAAATAATCTGAGGGTCCAATGATCATCAATTTGTGTTCAACTGCAATATTTATTAAAATTCATAATCATAGCCAAACACTACAGCTTGCATCAGAGACATAGGCCAACTTTACTGTCGATATGTAGTCTCCTAAAATGATTTCTGCTGCTATTTATTAAACATTAACACCTGCTTGATTTGCCAATATATATAAAAAAAAAAACACGTGTAGGCCTAAAACTGTTGTTGTAAGAAGGAAAATGAGTCTAACAACAGTTTTTTTTTTCAATTTAGCCTACATTAGTGTAAAAAATCTGGCACATTGTCGTCATTTCCGCTTTCTATCGTTGTAAACAAAGTTTGTAAACACCGAACAGTCCGTAGCGTTGTTAGTAGATTCTAATCGTACAAATACGCACTTTTAATTTTATTTTTAATGATTTAGCTTTTAAAAGAGAATACCATACTTAAGATGCTATTCAATCATGACAGACGACAAAATTGAGTTTACCTCTCTTAGTGGTAGGCAGTTTTTTTTTAAATTATTAAGTTGGGTAGGGTTGGAAGGAGGACTAGAAAGTAGAAAGGAGAGGGCTAGAGGCGGACCTGTTGTAAAGGAGGGGGTACTCACTGAAAATGTGAAAATATTCAAATTGGGGACTTAGGAGTCTTGGATGAATTTATAATCAACCCTTTAAATCCCAAACAGATCGTCCCGCCCCCCCCCCCCCCCCCCCCATGTGTGGCCTCAACCAACCGGTGGGCTCGTTGCATTGAGTTAAATAATAAATATTAAATATAGCCTAAACTTAAAACAATAATATAAACAATCTACTTTCAGTCGGTCAGGCCCCATGCCATCAGAAGTCATCCAGGATCATCCTAAAATATGAGCCTGTCATCTGGCTTCATCTGAAATGTCACACATTTTTTAGTGAAAAATCAAACATAGCAGTTAATGAGAATCTCCTTAGCTAAACTTTGCAGTGCATGATGAAAAAATTCTCCATAATGTATGAGAATTTTTATAATATTAGTGTTGTCAAAAATATTTATAAAAATATATTTAAATATTTTAATCTGAATTTTAAAACATTTTCCACCAATTGTACATTTAACCTAGAAAATGTTTTTGACTGTAGGCCTACAAACCTAAAATGAAATATTATCAAGAACATGTTTACAGAAGGGTGTTTGTGTTTATCCTCTGTTAGGGAAGCTCTACTTGCTACTGAAGTAAAAATCTAAAGAGCTGTATTGAGTACATCAGTCTTGTGATTAGAACTCAAGACTTCTGAGTTAGTTATTGAGTACTGAACTTATCTTTCTCTGTACTACAGATGGAACCTGAATCTTTTAATCCAAAAGCTGGACTAGCAAGTCCTTATGAGCTCTTTAACTTAACTCTCACATATTTTAGTTTTAGTGCTTATTTTATTTGTATTTTAGAAGAGAAGAAAGAATTGAACAGCCTGAAGCCAAAGGAGAAACATGTGGTGTCCGTCCCATTTGTCAACCAGTGCTACTCCTGGGACTGTGGTCTGGCTTGTGTTTCTATGATACTCAGGTAGTTCTTTCACTTTCTTTTAGTTTTCTGTACAGTCACTTACTTAAAACATTGTTGAGAGCTCAAGTAATGACCCCCTACATTTGGGGCTACCCCCACATTACTTCAATTTTTTAAATAATTATATCTAATGTCAGCTTAGTGTATTTCATGACACAATTTGTTTTTTACTGACAAGACTTAAAAAAAAAATTGAGTTGCCAGTTTGTTTGGAATATTCTTAGGCTAACTATGTTCATTGCCAAAGTGTATAGGCCTACATACGTCATAAATAATTCATGGCTATTTTTATTATAGTATCTTTTGTGCCTACTATCTCAGGTAAAAAGCAACACACTGGTACTAGCTAGACACCTCTATCACAACATTACCTCCCCTTACAACACTCAAACAAGATTTGATAAACATACTTGAGTTCACATATGGGGCTTGAGTCTGCAGGATGTCCCTGAGTCCACCCAGCTCTGACTCACGTTAGGAAAATAAAGACGTGCTGACCGCACTATATTCCCTTGTATATCAGGGTCATTGAAACAGATTAACTCTACTTCATCTGCCCCATTTGTCTTGATGATGCTGATACTCAATAACAAAACAATGTTCTTTGTTCAGGATGTTTAATGAGCCTTGTGATGATGTGTACACTAAAGACTTGGACTCACTACAGTGTGGAGAAAGGTTAGAAACATTTTATGTTAACCATAGTGGTCTACATGGTGGGATTGGTAAAGCTCATGGTCTCTAAACTGAACGGTCCAGAGTTCGAACACCTGGGCAGATAAGGCTCGATAGCTGGGAACGGCAACCCATCTAGGAAATAAATGCCAAAGTTAGACAATTTCTCTCTGGTAGTCTGTTCATAGTTGGACAAAGGCTGTGGAAACAAATCCAGAAGGAAAAGCAGGCTGAAGTCAGCGGCATATGTGGTGCATAACACGTGGATGCGTAATATTTGATTGTGTTCAAGGAAATCCCTTTCAAGATTTAAATGAAGAATGAAGAAGATGTTAAATGACAGAAAATATTGTAAAATGTTGAATAAATACTTTAATCTATGTGGACCTAGACCTATTGTTATATTTTTACTATTAGTTTTGTTGTTTCATTATTGTTAAAATTATGGGATAAGTGGATTTATGCATAAACACATTTTTTCTCTAGTATCTGGACAATTGATCTGGCTTATATTTTAATGAGACACAACGTTCATTCATGTCTGTATACCATCACTCTGGGAGTCAATGGGGATCATTGCAAAAAGGTAAGATTAATTAGAATTATCTAATTAACTGAGTGATTAGTTCAGAAGATTATTTTATTAATTACCTGATTAATCAGTTTAGACTTTAGAAGATTATTTTCTTAATTAGCTAATTGATCACTTACAAGGAATCTTATTAGCTTTTATTTTATCTTTTTAGATTTTTCTTTGATAATTATCTTATTAATATTTTCTTTTTCTTTTATCTTATTATTTTTCTTTTATAATATCAATTAAATTATTCTTTTATAGCATCCAGTACATTATCCTTTTACTAATTTTATATTTTATTTAACTATATCAAATTCTTATTCTGTCATTCAGTAACAGTCCAAATTCTGTTTGTCTGTTCAGTCATTTTACAGGAGTAGCTTCTCTGTTGATGAAGTGAGGGTCAAGAACATGTTTGACTCGGCTGCCCAGAATGGTGTGCTGGTAGAAAAAAAGTAAGTACTTCAACATTTTTTAAACTACTCCATTTTCTACTAATTTCAACTTTGGTGGCCATTTATTGAATAGGCACACTCGGAATACTGAAATAATTAAAAACATTGGGCAGATGAAGTATGAGTTCATCTGTTTCATTAAATTCGGCATATGAAGGGATATTGTTGTCAGCACTATACCCAGCCGTCTTTGCTTTTCCTAACATGAGTCAGGTACCCATCAGATCTGGGTGGACTCAGGGAGTTTTTACTGACTTGAACCCAGATTTTAACTTGTGAATTCTGGTTAAGCAGTCTAGCCCTGTAGCGCCATGCAGTGCCACAATATCCTTATATCTAATCCAGGGTTGAATAGCAAGTTAAGGGTAAAAAAGTGGGGGTGATGCCATGCGATTGTTTTGTTGCATGATTTACATTGGGTAATGCCCTGCTCCTTGTGTGTCAATTACAACATCTAGACTTTGTAAAGATTCTATTTGTTTAGAATATAGCCAGCTTACATCTTCTGTTAGAACCCATTTTGGAATATATTTTTTAGCTGGGCCCATGGTCTCAATATCTTTAAAAAAAAAGTTGTATTATCCATAGGTGTCTGTCTCTGGATGACCTTATCCAGCACCTCCAGAATAACAATCCATTAATTGTCCTGGTAGACTGGACGTTGATGAAGTGTTTGTGGTGTGAGAGCAAGGTAGGTACTGGAGAAGCTTGCATGATACATTGCTAGAAATGCTAGTAAAAAGTGTTCAGTTAAATTACAAAAAAAATTGTGTATTATTCTGCAATTCCACTTTTGTCAAAGTTTGTAGAGCTAAATTGAAAAAAGTAAAAAAATTAATTAAAAAATCTTATTAGAAAAAAATTATTAAACACATTGAATAAAAGAGCAGTGAACATGATTCTTTTCTTTCGTCATTTGTTTCCATTTCAATATTTACTTACATGTTGATTATGTGGCAAGTGTCAGCTATATATAGCTATATGAAATAGAAAAGGGCTGATAAATTTTAATTTTTAAAACCAAAATAAAAGCCTTTTGAGAATTTGTAAATTATACAGTAAATAAAATGTCGAGGAAAATATAATCGGCACACTAGAATTTAATTATTACACACACTTTGGGGCTTTAGCATTTGTTTGTTGTTGATATGGCTTACTACTACACAAGTCTAGTACATAACAAACCAGGATCACATTGAGTTGGAAATCAAACAAAGAATCCAAAAAAGTTTCAGATTGAAGTAGCATCAACTATTCTAGTGTTGAACCCAATTATCTAACCAATAATGTTGTAAAAGTAAAAGCTATACATATGGTTTTGTTATAGTTATAGTTAAATGAGAAAGGGTAGGTACATAGTTTTTAAAAAGTAAGATGAAAAGTATATAGATCTAGTTGCTGGTGAAATATTAATTAAATAACACAATACATAATACTCATATTAACTTTTTATAATGCCTTTTTGTTTTATTTGAAGTATTTATTTTCTTTTTAGCAAAGTAACATCCTTGTGTATGTTCCTCTTTTTATGTTTGACTTTTCCTTTATTTGTTCACTGGGGATAGGCATGTCTGCATTAGAGAGTAAGACCATGCCATTTCATCACATCAGTGGCCACAACACATTCTTGGTGTTGTAAATCTGCTACAACATATCTTTAAAAAGTTGCAAAACATTGTTTGTATAGTGGTTTTGTTTTGAATTATAACAGTTTGCTTATGACAAAATCCATTTCTGGTTTCAGCTAAGAAAGTGTTGGTCTTGTGTGACCTGCAACAAGGGGCCCTATCAAGGTAGGGATAAAACAATTGGTCTTTAACTTAAAAAACTTATGGGCTCCTTGCTTATGCTGATTACTATATAATTATCTTGATGGGTCTAAACTTCAAAGGCATGAAAAGTCCAGTAGCCAAACAATTTAAAACATAGAATGGAAATAATAACATGCAATGATCCACAAAATCCCCTTCATTGCAAAAGTCATTTGTGTGACCCTTGAGACAACACTGAGATTATGACGATATATATCTTAACTTATTTTAGATGTGACAACATTTATGACTGTAGACTTTCTGTAAAATTTCACGCACCTCTCAGAATCACTAGTCCACACTGTACGGTTTAAAAGCTGGTTCCTTAAAATATTACCTAAAATTGTTATATCTAGACGTTGTATTAATAGCTTTTCTAAAAAAAAAAAAATCATATTCTAACTAACCATAATTTTCTAGGTCACTTCATCGTGGTTTGTGGCTATGACACCCACAAGGCTTTGATTTTCTACAAGAATCCTGACTCTCATTTTCATGGTAAGTGTAGGGAGCATCTGCTGACTGGGCTGTTTGTACAGCTGATGTTTAACTGGGCTGTTTGTACAGCTGATGTTTAACTGGGCTGTTTGTACAGCTGATGTTTAACTGGGCTGTTTGTACAGCTGATGTTTAACTGGGCTGTTTGTACAGCTGATGTTTAACTGGGCTGTTTATACAGCTGATGCTTAACTGGGGTGTTTATACAGCTGATGTTTAACTGGGGTGTTTATACAGCTGATGTTTAACTGGGCTGTTTATACAGCTGATGTTTAACTGGGCTGTTTATACAGCTGATATTTAACTGGGCTGTTTATACAGCTGATGTTTAACTGGGGTGTTTATACAGCTGATGTTTAACTGGGCTGTTTATACAGCTGATGTTTAACTGGGCTGTTTATACAGCTGATGTTTAACTGGGGTGTTTATACAGCTGATGTTTAACTGGGGTGTATGTACAACTCATGTTTATCTGGGCAGTCACTACAGCTCATGTTGTATCACTTTATCCCTATCCCCCATATACATCTGTTGTATCATTTTATCCTTATCCTCTATACACTTGCTGTATCACTTTTTTCCTATCTCCATAGACACCTACTGTATGACTTTATCCCTATCCTCTAGACACCTACTGTATGACTTTATCCCTATCCTCTAGACACCTACTGTATGACTTTATCCCTATCCTCTAGACACCTACTGTATGACTTTATCCCTATCCTCTAGACACCTACTGTATGACTTTATCCCTATCCTCTAGACACCTACTGTATGACTTTATCCCTATCCTCTAGACACTTGCTGTATCACTTTATCCCTATCCTCTAGACACTTGCTGTATCACTTTATCCCTATCCTCTAGACACCTACTGTATGACTTTATCCCTATCCTCTAGACACTTGCTGTATGACTTTATCCCTATCCTCTAGACACCTACTGTATGACTTTATCCCTATCCTCTAGACACTTGCTGTATGACTTTATCCCTATCCTCTAGACACCTACTGTATGACTTTATCCCTATCCTCTAGACACTTGCTGTATCACTTTATCCCTATCCTCTAGACACTTGCTGTATCACTTTATCCCTATCCTCTAGACACCTACTGTATGACTTTATCCCTATCCTCTAGACACTTGCTGTATGACTTTATCCCTATCCTCTAGACACCTACTGTATGACTTTATCCCTATCCTCTAGACACCTACTGTATGACTTTATCCCTATCCTCTAGACACCTACTGTATGACTTTATCCCTATCCTCTAGACACTTGCTGTATGACTTTATCCCTATCCTCTAGACACTTGCTGTATGACTTTATCCCTATCCTCTAGACACTTGCTGTATCACTTTATCCCTATCCTGTAGACACTTGCTGTATGACTTTATCCCTATCCTCTAGACACTTGCTGTATCCACATGGAAGAATTTGACAGAGCCAGGAAAAGTGACGGCACGGATGAAGACACATTGTACATTTTTAATCAAACTTTTAGAGGTGAGAATATTTATCAAGTTAAAAGTGTTCATTATTTTAACTTTATTTTGATCCAATCAAACAATCTTCTGTAATAGAACTTAATCTTCATTAAGTTTGCAATGTTCATTAATTTTACTTTAGTTTGATCCAGTGAAGCGATGTTCTGTAATAAAACTTAATCTTCATTAAGTTCTGCAATGTCTACTAACAAATTTTTATACTGATTACTTTTTGCGATGTTTGTTAATTTAACTTTATTTTGATCCAGTTATGGGATGTTCGGTAATAGAACTTTATCTTGATCAAGTTAAGCTTTTTAGTATAAGAATTAGATACTAATAAACTTAGATAGTTTTCTACAATAGAACTTTATCTTGATCAAGTTTAGATATTTGGTAAAAGAATCATATACTAATAAACTTAGATAGTTTTCTGTTATAGAACCATATCTTGATCAAGTTTAGGTCGGCGTGGTCGAGTCGGTAAAGCTCATGGTTGCTAAACCGAAAAGTCTCGAGTTCGAACCCTCGGGCAGATGAGGCTCGTTAGCTGGGGACAGCCACTTTTCTAGGAGAGACAACTCCAAAATCAAACAACTGCTGCCTTGTAGTTTGTTCTTGGTTGGACAAAGGCTATGGAAGCAAATCCAAAAAGAAAAGCAGGCTGAAATCGGAGTCAATGGCCTCAATGGCGCATAACCAGTTGACACGTAATCCTTAATTGTGATGGAAGCATGGTCAAGTCGGCAAAGCTCATGGTTGATAAATTCGAAAAAAAGTCTCGAGTTCAAACCCTCTGGCAGATAAGGCTTGATCCCTACCAACACTAAATATTAAGAACGAAGAAGAAGAAGATCAAGTTTAGATATTTGGTAAAAGAATCAGATGCTTAGATAGTTTTCTACAATAGAAATTTATCTTGACCAAGTTGGAGAGTGTTGTTATATTTTGTTATTTGTTAAACATACTATCTTAATACAATGAATAGTTACTATACTTCTAAAGATAACATCTTTTATTTTCTCAGGGGGTATCGGTGACTGTGCATAATTTTAACACATCAACTCAGATCATCTTTGATGGATTAGCAGGCAGTCTACATGTTTCTATAACTTCAAATTTGTGAATTAAGGTTTTTAAAGGTTTTCTTCTATTTATTAAATTTATGTAGTTAAATTTGTTGAAGCTTGTCAGTCCTGATATGAGAAATGTTATACCAAGTCATTTATAGAGGACAATCTTAAGCTGGGAACTAAAAACTTTTGTCGTAAATGTTCCTTTTTACACTTTCAATGCATTTTCTACATGGAGCTACATAATCTATTTATCGTTTATTTTTTATGTGCCAAAATTTATGAATGAAACACTACAGTATAAATTTTAATTCAGCTACAAAGTAAACTTATGATTGATAAGATACTACAATGCAAACTTCTGATTGGTTAGTATAATGTTATGTAAAATTCTGATTGGTTCATATTATGTGAGTAGGCTTTTGATTGTTAAATATATTGCAAGGAAAACTCCTGATAGGTCAATACACTGCAAGGTACTACCAGGCTCTGATGGAATCAAAGTTTCTATGCAATATGAACAGACCTATGTTTTTTTAGTATTCTTTGTTAAAAAAAAATCTGCATGTTTTAATCTGTAATTTGTTTTTTTCAACTCTAGTTATGCGATTGCTGTTGTTTTAATTTAACCCTTAAAACCTGCTCAGAAATAACAAATGAAATTTTTTTTAATAAAGTATAATTATACTTTATTGACGTAAGCATTTTAAAACGAGAATTTCTATTGGTTAATTAAGTCGCTGCATACTCACCATTCCACTGATTTAATCTCTTCCTCAGGCCATATCGTAAACCCACTCATTCCAAACCCTGGTTTTTTTTTCAACTAGGTTGAAAATAACTATATATATATACCCATTGACCAGTTTTTCTCACAGCTAGTCCACAGCCCGCCTGGCATAAAATATTCAGTTTTTTTTGTACAGGGGGTCTGTTGACCGTGTGTGTGCGTGTCATGACAAGTGAGATGCAGCTTCAAACATTACGGGTAGATCAAATGTGAAAACCATTCTGTATAAAATAGATTTTAAATATTCTGGGCATTTATTTTTATTTTAGTGATGGAATTTGGAAACTAGAGTTTACTGAAAATGTGTGTCACTATTTATATATATATAGTCTCTAAGTAAATACATAGTATCTAAATAAAGTCACTAATTATATTATAAGTCTCTAACTAGATTTACTAATTATATATAGTCCCTTAATAGAGTCACTAATTGTATATAGTTATCCTAGAAAAAATAAGCATATCTATTGTTACACTGTAACCATTGTTAAATATTAATGTGTCATTTTCTGAATCGGCTCATTTTGTATCTACTGAATAAAAACTTATTTAAACTGGAATTATAATACAATAATGTGATATATTTGGTGTTGAAGTTTCACATCATCCATTCTTGAGTTTAAAATTACAATTTTTTGTCCAAAGAGTAAAGATTTTCATAATTTCATACACCAGATTCATTCCATGTTGTCCATTTTAAAAGTCCCGCAGTAAATCACTGTCTTGATTTTCATCAATGAATTGTTTTAATTTTTGAAGCCACTTATGTATACTGCTCTATTATTTTTTATTTTTTTTTTGTAGGAAGAGTTAGCTTCTTATTATCTGACATGAGAGTTATTAGTAATTTTTTTTTGTTTTAATCTTTTTAAATTGGATCTTGACAAATTTAGTATAGCAAAAATTGTTAATTGTTTTTATGCCATAGATTTGTAATACGGGACGGAGTGGCCTAGATGTAGGCTGCTAAACCTGAAAGTCTCGAGTTCAAAACCGGGTTCAAGTCAGTAAAACGTCCTTGAGTCCACCCAACTCTGATGGGTACCAAACTTACATCAGGGAAAGTTAAAGTGGCTGGGCATAATTCTGAATCACAGAAACAAACGAACTCTACTTGGACTATAGACCACCAGACTTGAAAACTTTTATTTTGTTACTTGATTTCTTTAATGACACACTGCCAGTATAGAAAATAAATTATAAAACACTATTACTGACACCAAAGATTAAATTAGATGTTACATACATTTGCTTCAAAATTGTAATCATCAGAACTGTAGTAAAGTTAAAATTGTATTGTTTACGTCCTCTGAGCATCCTATTTTAAGATCTACCCTTACACCTAGTCCTCTACTCTGGACTACTTTTCTTTTTTCTCCAACTAAACTTTGCATCTAATGGCTTCATGTCCTCGCAAAGTATTTCTAGTTTTATTTTATCAATTTTAAACTGCTGCCTCAAATGTGTTGTTCACTTTTTTAAAAAAATTTTGAGCAGGGTATTCACATGTTAAACTATTGACTAGCATTGTATCTTGAATTACATGGTTTCCTTCTCAACACAATCATACTCCAAGTTTGTTGTAACAATTTTGTTACCATAAAATACATTCAGTCGATAACTGTATAGACATTTTGATATGAAATGAGATTCTACTTAAAGCATTATAAAAAAATTAAACGTTTGATTCCGGTATTTAGTTCTTTTTTTTGGGTCATATTGACCTAGAACATGTTTACCAAAATGATGACAACAATCACATTATTTTAGAACAGTATTCAGAATAATATAAGAATTTTAAAAAAATTAATTGAATACTTGTATGCTTGTAATCATTATTGGTTTTATTTCCCCTTAATTTTTCCATTGTGTTGAAGTCTGTATTAAGCAGATTCTCTAAGCACATTTTAAATTTTTTAATGTGACTGCTAGCTAAGTTAAAACCATGTAATTTGTTTTAATTTTCATTTCTAAAGAATATTTTAATACAAATGTTCATTTTAAGAATAACTCAATTTATGAAAAGAAAAATGCTGTTATCTTGAAGAGAGTTTTAAAGAATATTTTGTTTTAATTTTTTCTTTGCAGCTTGTTTCATTTTTTTACTTTTAAGAAAAATAGAAAAATATTGGTGTGAGTTTGACCTTTTATTCTCAATATTTTAATAATTTTATCATTGAAGTTTTGTAATCCTAATTTTATAAGAATTTTGTATTGTCAAGTATCCTGTCTGTTGCAAAAATCCTGTTGTGTATCCTGCATTATAAAGTGTATAGTAACGTCAATTGTTACATAATCTGGGATGTTACTGATACACTTGTTGACTGCATTACATAGTGAACATATTCACTGCTGAGGGATTATGTGCATTTAGTCCCATGCTTCTTCATGAAAATAATAGTTGTTGAATTTCTGCAGAGTAATTTATTTAATTAGAGTTGCCGATGTTGAAAAAATAATTTATTTTCTTTTGTTAACAAGGATTAGAGGTTTCAGTTTTTCATTGCTAGCAGCTTTTCTACACTGGAAAACTTGGAAGCGAAATGTAAAAATATTTATGAAAACCACAATACAAATTCTATTTAGTTGATAAATTCTATGGTTAATTAATTATGTATAAGACATTTTAAGAAATATTACAAAAATGTAACATTATTTTTTTTTTTTTAATCTGGCAACAGTTTTTGAAAATTGGTATTTGCCTATTTGCATTTCTCGACCACTTAAAATATTAAAGGTGCAATGATATATTGAACAATGTTTTCAGAAACAGAGTATATGAATCATTTTCATACCTATGTGATTCTGATTAACTTATTGATTGTTGCTTATATTTCCCTGTGTTACATTTTTCAAATTATTTAACTCAATATTGTGTTAATTATTGTACTTATGTGATACAGTTTTAAACAAATTTGAAGCATAAAACATGAATTATTGACATATTTTATAGTTGAAGTATTTCTTGTGGGTCTCTTTTGGCAGCTCCATACTTCAGCATTTTGTGTGAGAAATTCTTATGTGGCAAGTCTGTATTTCAGACATTCTTATGTGGCAAGTCTGTATTTCGTTGTGTTGTGCACATTCCTGTGCCTGTATTATTGGTGAAAATAAATTTCTATTTAAAAAGAAAGAAATGTTGTGTTCATATTTTAAGTCACCTTTCTTTCTTTTAATCTGTTTGCTACAAAATGGCAATCTTCAACACTAATCTGCCGCTTTTCATTAAAAAAGAAACAAATATAGAGGAAAAAAAGCCTATACATGTTAAAAAAATTAGTTTTTAAGTGAACAGAACAAAACAAAAACTTTCTTAAATAACCAGTTGCTCTTGGAATCCCGAAGTCACGACACACTTTGGCATTTTATAAATTGTAATAGAAATTGTTTGATATATTTAATGTTGACATTTTAGAAAGAATTCGACGTTTAAAAAAAACACCAGTTTTAAGGGGGGGGGGGGGGTTTGTAAGCTGAGGTGTGAAGAAGTCATTTTAGGGGGGGGGAGGGGGGCTGACATTTTATGACGATGGGGGGGGGGGGGGGGTAAACGCGTCCAAATTACCGGGTCATCTATGGATGTCCCCCTTATTTTATATAAATTATAATAATAGCTTTTTTTTAAAAAAAAATAATGATTAATATACAATCAAATGAGATTTTAAAACATGACCGTATTTTTCCCATTAAGGTTGCGGTAGTCCCAACAGTATGGTTAACAAATGGAGACAACTCAGGACTAACAATATTAAATATTTTTAATAAAATAGAAACAATGCATTTTATTATTGTGTATAAAATATGAATAAGTAACAATATTAAAGCATTAGGAGTAAAAAAAAACATTCAAAATTATGTTCAATCTAGATTTATAATAAAGTGTGTGAACCTAGGTATAATAAAGTGATTAAGAATGAAAGTGTTTTGTCCAGCTTTTAACAAAAATGAAACATTTTTAAATTTTACAACTGACGAACTGGCCAGATAAGCGTTGCAAACTGGTGACAGAAAGTAAAAATTTACATCCAATTTTTTTTATAGATCCGACACCGTTACTCATTAGTGTTTATCGCTAACAAGTTTCATTGTTGTATTTAACATTAACAAATTGTACTCTTGTAGCCCAATTTACCACTGACAAATTTCCCTGCTGTAGCCCAATTTACCACTGACAAGGTTCCTTGTTTTAGCCCAATTTACTACTGATACGTTTCCCTGATATATCCAACTTTAACATTAACAAATTATACTCTTGTAGCCCACTTTATTACTGACAAGTTTCACTGTTGTATCCAACTTTAACATTAACAAATTATACTCTTGTAGCCCACTTTATTACTGACAAGTTTCACTGTTGTATCCAACTTTAACATTAACACATAGGTCTACTATCGTATCCCACCTAACCAACAAAAAATCCTGTTGTAGCCCATTTTACTACTAACAAATTATACTAGTGTATCCCACTTTACCACTGACCGCTGTAGCTCACTTCACCACTGACAAGTTTCCCTGTTGTAGCCCAATTAACCACTGACAAGTTTCCCTGTTGTAGCCCAATTTACTACAAACAAATTATACTAGTGTATCCCACTTTACCACTGACCGCTGTAGCTCACTTCACCACTGACAAGTTTCCCTGTTGTAGCCCAATTTACCACTGACAAGTTTCCCTGTTGTAGCCCAATTAACCACTGACAAGTTTCCCTGTTGTAGCCCAATTTACTACAAACAAATTATACTAGTGTATCCCACTTTACCACTGACCGCTGTAACTCACTTCACCACTGACAAGTTTCCCTGTTGTAGCCCAATTTACCACTGACAAGTTTCCCTGTTGTAGCCCAATTTACCACTGACAAGTTTCCCTGTTGTAGCCCAATTAACCACTGACAAGTTTCCCTGTTGTAGCCCAATTCACCACTGACAAGTTTCACAGCTGTAGCCCACTGACAAGTTCCATGGTGTAGCCTCCACTGACAAGTTTCACCGCTGTAGCCCACTGACAAGTTTCACCGCTGTAGCCCACTGACAAGTTTCACCGCTGTAGCCTCCACTAACAAGTTTCACCGCTGTAGCCCACTGACAAGTTTCACCGCTGTAGCCTCCACTGACAAGTTTCACCGCTGTAGCCCACTGACAAGTTTCACCGCTGTAGCCCACTGACAAGTTTCACCGCTGTAGCCTCCACTAACAAGTTTCACCGCTGTAGCCCACTGACAAGTTTCACCGCTGTAGCCTCCACTGACAAGTTTCACCGCTGTAGCCCACTGACAAGTTTCACCGCTGTAGCCCACTGACAAGTTTCACCGCTGTAGCCCACTGACAAGTTTCACCGCTGTAGCCCACTGACAAGTTTCACCGCTGTAGCCCACTGACAAGTTTCACCGCTGTAGCCCACTAACAAGTTTCACCGCTGTAGCCTCCACTGACAAGTTTCACGGTTGAAACCTACATCTCACAGACGCTACGCTTCAACGAATTGTTCGACACGCTCAAGGCCACCCTCACCTGACTCAGCCACGGTTTCCCTTTAAACGAGTTGGCCATGGTCAGTGTTTTGATGGCCCTCTCTCGGCTGGAATCGCCCTTGTACTTGCTGACCAGCTTCAGGGTCTTCTCCAGAAACTCCTCCTCTCTCTGACCTTGGTGGTAGAAGAAAGGCCTGCGCGCCTGCTCGTGGCTGATCAGCGGCAGGGGGATGGGACCCTCGCTTGATTTCGCCCTCGACAACAACATGGCGTTCGAAATCTTCCCCCTGCGCCGCCGGCGTGATTGCCTCCCCTGGCTGCTTGCGTCATCCGTGACGTCACTTCCCATCTGCGATACTCCCGATACGACGGCTGGATCGATGTTTGGTTTCCCATTTTTGGGCACGTCTCTGCTTTTGTCAGACATGACGCTGACGCAAGCGTCTGGTTTGTTTGTGTCGTTTGTTTCCATAGCAACCGCCACATTGCCAGTCAGCTGATTTTCTACCCCGTTTACATCCTTCCGAAGATGTGACGTGACGAAAAAAGCGTTCTTTGAGTTTTTCACCAATCTGATTTCACCTTTTTGAGTTTGTGTTCCGACGTCATCGTTTTTCTCGGCATCTGATTGGCTGAGCGGCACGTTGACCTTCGCCTCGTGGTAGACAGTGACGTTTCGATTGGCTCCCGTGATGGCGGGAAACCTGCTCTTGAAAACGTCTGACGTTTGGTCAGCAGCCTCAGCAGGCGTGTCTCCAGCCAGTCGTCTGTGTGTGACGTCATTTCCTGCTGTTTTTTTCACCTCGGCTGTATATATAAAAAGAAGGGGTAAGAAAAATGTAAAGAATCTTGTTTAATGTTAGGGGCTACTTTACAACTTAACAAACCAATAAAATCTTCGCACTTTAATACATTTTTTGTTTTTAATCCAGACCAGATTTGTCAGACAGCCCTGTATGAGACCAAAGACAGCCCTATATGAGACCAAAGACAGCCCTATATGAGACCAAAGACAGCCCTATATGAGACCAGAGACAGCCCTGTATGAGACCAAAGACAGCCCTGTATGAGACCAAAGACAGCCCTGTATGAGACCAAAGACAGCCCTGTATGACCCCAAAGACAGCCCTGTATGACACCAAAGACAGCCCTGTATGAGACCAAAGACAGCCCTGTATGAGACCAAAGACAGCCCTGTATGACCCCAAAGACAGCCCTGTATGACACCAAAGACAGCCCTGTATGACACCAAAGACAGCCCTGTATGACACCAAAGACAGCCCTGTATGAGACCAAAGACAGCCCTGTATGAGACCAAAGACAGCCCTGTATGACACCAAAGACAGCCCTGTATGACACCAAAGACAGCCCTGTATGACCCCAAAGACAGCCCTGTATGAGACCAGACACCCAGACAGATTCTTCCAGGCATCTGACCAAAGAAAGTCTACCGCCCGCCCCCCTCCACACCCTCCCACCGACCAAAATGGAATTTATATAGAAAATATATACTTTTAACAGTGTCCCCCTACCCCTCCCCCCCCCCCCGAAATTTTAGTCCGCTCCCCCGAAAATTTCAAGTGCCTCCCCCCCCCCCCCCCCAGAAAAAAAAGTCTGGAAGAAACACTGCACCTAGAATCCCAAAAACAGCCCTGTATGACACCAAAGACAGCCCAGTATGAAAAACCACTAACGTCAGTTCCCGTCTCCTCCCTCCCCCCCCCCCCCCCATGTCACTGACACCACCTTGACAATCCATTAACCGAACTTCTACAAAACAGGGGCACTAACCACTCACATTAAAACGTCATGTTAAGGTCACGCTGACACAACACACTGAGCACACAACTGTTGACACCCTGCACGTTCAGACAACATTACAGACGGGCCCCATTAAAATCATGACAAACAGACATTTACGGCCATTACTAAACACTGACAATCCTTCCAGAGGCGAGGCGGGGTCGGGGGGTGCGGACCGCACCGGGTGACACCATTTGGGGGGGGGGGGTGTGACACAAAGACAAATAAAATGCAAGATATATAGAATAAATGTTTTTTTTTTGCCAGTTCAATGAATGGTTAATTAGAGTTAAAAAGTATTTAAAGTATATAATGACGATCCCGACATGGGAGGGGGGGGGGGTGACACCATGACGTAAACATGCAAAATATAAATAAAACAATGCTACACCCAGCTGTATTAACAACCGACTATAGATGAATATCGTTAGTATTAAATGTGAACACTTTAAAGTTTTTACGGGGGGGGGGGGAAGACGTGACAGAGAAAAAAAAGGGGGGGGGGGAATGACACCATGAGGTGCCGCACCGGGTGATACCCAACATAGCGATGCCACCGAATCCTTCTAAGCCTAGGTCAGTGACCTTACTGAGAGCACAGTGTCACATTCTATAAGAGCTGAGGGGAAATGTTGAATCCATAGCTATAACGTTATGTTTAAGTTCTCATATTTTTATTTGTTATAAAAACTTGTAGTGTACTTTTTATAATTACAGCCTTTAAATGCATTTATATGAAGACAATATTAGATATTTATTTCTTTACACACAGGCCAAAAATCTAGTAATATTTCGCATTTAAAAAAAAAATTGTGTAAACGTTATTAGAAAATGTATCAATATCTATATATATAATTCTCTTCTGGGGGCCGTTAGAAAACAAGCTGCAAGCGCCTCCTTGCAGTCCCCTCTCTTTCTCTCTATCACTATCACTACCACCCCCACCCCACCCCCACATTGTCTGGTGAGCTGTGGTCACGCTGTTTACATTTTACAATCATTAAGACGGGTTTGGTGACGGCTATTAGGGGCAGATAATTTAGTTTGGAATATTTTAAACTTAGAGGAGGTAACTAAGAGGAGGCTGCTTTCACGTAGGGGGGGGGGGGTTAGTGTTTTTAAGCAAATATTTTCTGTGGCAGCATTGGTACTGTCGAATTCACAAATTATAAATTACTGAAAAGTAGAAAAAAAAAACAACAAAATAGCGGCGTATGATACGCAGCGGGTCGGCTCGTTAATATTATTTCAAGTCGTTAGTTCATAGATCTATTTTAGAAATAAATATGAGAATTTTGTTTTTAAAAAAAGTTGCAATGTAAGTGGTAGTCTGAAATGTAACGTTATTTAGAAGGTGGGTCTGGTTTTTTTTTCCTAAAGATGTGGAGGGGAGGGAAGTGTTGATTTTTTATTTGAAATTATAATTAATATTTGTTTTTGGTTTGCAGGGCCGTTTAATTCGGTGCCACTCCCACACCACACCCACTCATTCTTGTATCAGGCGAGATCAATTGGTGCACAATTAACACAATCGATTAAGCTCTTTTCCACCTGACCCCCCCCCCCCCACCCCAATATCTATGTTCTGTAATTAAATATGTAGTTAAATCCAGCAATTATTAATTGAAATGGAAAAAAGGACAGTTTTAAAGTCAATGTATATATGGGTTGTCACCACACCTCTAATCAATTAATTATACATATGATTAAAATCAACCATTAAAAAAACACTCAGCAAAACAGTGGTCAGTCTGATCGGGATGGTAAAGCTCATGCTTGCTAAATCAAAATATCCCGAGTTTCAACCCCCGGGTAGATGAGGCTCGTTAGCTGGGGACAGCAACACATCTAGGAGAGACAACTCCAAAATTAAACAACTATTGCTTCGTAGTTTGTTGTTGGTTAGACAAAGGCTATGGGAGCAAATCCAAAAAAGAAAAGCAGGCTGAAATCAGAATAAATGTTATAAATGGCACATAACAAGTTGACACGTAATACTTAATTGTGCTAGAGGAAATGCCGTCCAACATTACAACGAAGAAGAAGAAGACTCAACAAAGCTATTTTTCCCTTTCAAATTTGCAATTTTTAAAATGGTGTCACCCGCGGCCCCTTTACTATTCAATAACAACTGAAATGTACGAGATGATGGCAAACTAAAGTAAAAGTAAAGTTTCCTTTCAAACCTGACGGTCTATGGTGCAAGTGAAGTAGAGTTCACTTGTTTCTTTGACCTCGGCATATAAAGAGATAGTGTGATCAGCACTATGCCCAGCCGCCTTTAATTTCCCTACCGTGAAATATGTACCCATCAGAGTTGGGTGGACTCAGGGACGGTCTACTGATTTGAAACCCGGATTCGAACGCCAGACTTACGGATTAGCAGTCCAGCTCTCTACCGCTAGACCACTCCGTCCCTCAAACTAAATAACATAAAATAAAAATCCAAACAAAACTCACCTTTGACTTTGGCGAAGCTATTCACCGATTTGGTCTCGTTCATCGTCTTCCCCCACCGCAACTGGTACCTCCCTTGACCTTTCTGCAACGACTTCCTCTCAGCGGCCATGATGGATTTAAAATAACTCTCAGGGTCGTCGACTGACGTCACGGACGACCTCTCAACCCAAGTTGACCTCTGGTTCAATTTATCCTCCTCTTTCAAGTCCCTACTCTCCCTTTGTAGCTGAGCTTTGGGTTTCCCGTTCATAGGGCTGGGGGAATACCCGTCCACGAAGACCCCATGCCCGACCATGGGACCGGGATGGAAAATACGACGGTTGATTGAAGATTTGCTCAGTCCGTGTTTGAGTAGAACCTGCTCCTTCGCGCGCTCGCACCAGTTTTTGATGGACGCGAAGGTCCCGAGATGGACGGAGTACGACCTCGTCAGCGGGACTTTGGTCCATTGTTTCGTCAACAGGAACGAGGCGCAGTTCCGGATGTTGTGACGCAGCGCGAGGTTGATGGGTTCAAGGCCGTCTGCGTCCTTGGCCTTGAGGCAGGTGATATCGTGGTTGACGAAGAGCCGCAGGACGCCAAGCTGCCCGTATAGGGTCGCCTCGTGGACGGGGCTTTTGAGACTGTCTTTGTGGCCGTTCTCCTGTAGGATGAAAAAACAACACCATTTGAATTATGTATTAAATTAAAGGTAATCGATAAAAATATAGCAACACATTTTCAAAATTATTAATTGAACGAAGAATCTTTTTTTTTTAATTGTCTTTTTCCCGAAATAAAGTTAATCAAGAGTTTGGATAATTTTTATTTAGCAGGGGCGGCCATTCCGCTACTACTAATGGTTTGTAAATTTAGTTGGATGGATAATTCAAGAAAAGAGTAACGGCTAGTTAATTTAAATCGTCCATTAATTCAAAAGGAAATTTTACTTAAGCCAATTATATATTAAAACAAGTTAATTAAAAAGTCTAGTGACATTTAAGCGCAATTTCCTTATGTTATCTAAAAATAGCTCTGTCGTAGCGTAAATCAAGAGCAGGGTTAGTAAAACCATTGGGTAGTTATTAAAACGTTTTTTATTAAATTTTTTTTCAGTATTTTACATGTTTTATTTACAATAGAGTTACATGACTAAAAACCATTGCGCGCCTACTGAATGTGATGACGCAGCCATTGAACGTGATGGCGCAGCTATTGAACGTGATGACGCGTGTGGTGTGGTTGGATAAATATGCTTACTAATTCGGTCCAAATTTTAATTAATTCAAAAAATTATTTGTGACCGAACGAAAGGATATTTTTGAAAACTTTCTTCGGCAATATTGTTCTAAATTATGGCAGGAATCGATTGGTACATGTTTCAAGTCGCTAAGTGGTCTGGTTGCCGAGATATGGGCCAAAAACTGCTTTTTTTCGAGGTTTTTTGGCTTTTCCGGGAAATCCATGAAAGAAACCCGTAATTTTTATGGCCTATGTTCATCCTCGTAACTTGCTTAACATAATTGCTTTTGGAACTAGTCATCGATATTGCTTCGTTGAGGAGGAGATACGACTTAAAGCTGCGGACACACATACATCCATCCATCCATCCATTCATTCATACATTCATACATCCAGAAATGACGGGTTAATAAACGCAATTCTCCAGAATGGAAATTGCGCTAAAAATAATAAGCCGCTTGATAATCCCAATGTCTATCATGCTAACCACCCTGCCGTATAGTACACGCACCCGGGGTAACAGTAGCATGCTGACTCGCATTAAACTGTTCGGTGATAGGGTTAGAACTTGGGTGTAAGACTCAGTGGCGTAGTCAGGTGTTACCCCCCCCCCCCCCCACACACACACCAATGAAAGTTGTCTCCCGAATAAGTTTAGCTATTTGCGCCCCAGCGCTCGTGAAGCTCTGCGTTTACAATATCAAAATTTCAAAAGTCACATACACATCGATGCCACTGCAATTTACATTTACAGTTAGGCAATGGGATACAGCGAGAGAGAGAGAGAGAGAGAGAGAGAGAGAGAGAGAGAGAGAGAGAGAGAGACCAATACGCTAGAACACTGCATGGTACCCTCAAACGGAAATGTACCTGTTCATCCCAGGGACCACCGGTGGAGCTGCGGGTACCCACCTGACACCAGGACCGGGCGGGGTGGTACCCCGTCCCCTCACCCGCCCGGCACCCCAGGCGGAGCAGGCACTTGGCCAAGTCAACGTGACCGAAGTGGGCGGCGATGAAAAGGGCGACTTTCATCTGGTACCTGGCCAGCACATCTTCGTCACTCAGCTGGGAGATGACCTGTGTAGAGCACACGACACACATATGAAATCAAGAACACACTACATACTACACACTACACACATCAGACACGGAGGTGACCTGTGTAGAGCACACGACACACATATGAAATCAAGAACACACTACATACTACACACTACACACATCAGACACGGAGGTGACCTGTGTAGAGCACACGACACACATATAAAATCTAGAACACACTACACACTACACACATATAAAATCTAGAACACTACACACATCAAACACAGACATAGAACAGAGCACACGACACACATCAGATATGGAGCACACGACACAAATCAGACATGGAGCACACGACACACATCATACATAGAACACACTACACACATCAGACAGCACACGACACACACAGCAGACACAGAGGAAACGACACACATCAGACACTAATACACATCTTCGAACACATTTTTAATTGTAGAGTTTGAAGTTAGGGATGTCAACACAGGCTCTCAGTAGTGTTTCCTTGTTGTATAGCGTGTTGATCAATGAGTCTAAACTATAGCAGCGATCAAGTCTATTGTATCGTAGCGTTTATTACAAAATCAATAGTTTGAGACAATTTGTAGAAACTATACATTGCTCATGATGGTCACCTATCAGTAAACAAAGCCCATTATAGCCCCCCCCCCTCCTGTAACTTAAAGCCCATGAATGCTCCCCCCACATGTGGAGTAAAACCCATGATGTCCACTTATCTGTGTCTTAAAATCCACGGTGGCCCTTCGCCTGGACAGTAAAACCCATGTCGCCCCCCCCCACCTATACAGTAAAACCCATAATGTCTCCCCACCTGTAGAAAAAAACCCATGATGGCCCCTCACCTGTGGAGTAAAACCCATGATGGCCCCTCACCTTTGAGTAAAGCCCATGATAACCTTTCACCTGTTAAAGCCCATAATGCCCACTCACCTGTGGAGTAAAACCCATGATGGCCCCTCACCTGTGGAGTAAAGCCCATGATGGCTACTCACCTGTGGAGTAAAGCCCATCATGCCCCCCTCACCTGTGGAGTAAAACCCATGATGGCCCCTCACCTGTGGAGTAAAGCCCATGATGGCCCCTTACCTGTGGAGTAAAGCCCATGATGGCCCCTCACCTGTGGAGTAAAACCCATCATGCCCCCCTTACCTGTGGAGTAAAGCCCATGATGGCCAGGTTTAAAAACTCGTTCCATCCGTCCCAGTTCTCCAGCAAGATTGTATGACCGATGTCCACCCCGTAGTCGTCCAGACTGTGTGTGTCATACATCTCCCGTCCGTCCGCTGTCGTCAGACGAAAGATTCCGACTGGCAGGCCGGATTTCATTGAGGCGATGCTCCGTATCTGTGACAGACGTTATAGAAATTAAGTTGATAGGTGGTACAGAGTTTCTTCCAGGCATCTCTTCGGGGGGGCGAAGCCCCCCCGAAAAATTTTTACCGCCCCCCCGAACGAAATGAAATTTATATAATTTATATAGAAAATATATACTTTTAACAGTGTCCGCCCCCCCGAAGAAAGTTTACCGCCCCCCCGAAGATTTCAAGTGCCCCCCCCGGAGAAAAATGTCTGGAAGAAACACTGAGGTGGTAGCTGCTGGTTACTAGATGATGCTGAGTTTCTACTTCATTTGTTATATTTAATTTCAAGAGTAATGTCGGATGTACATTTTGTACGACCACTAGCATCGAAGTGTTGAAATTATTCTTTAAAAAATAATAATTCATTTTTAAGCTATTTCAAGCGACAGACCCCTCAAACAAAGCTTCTTGCAATTTTTTTCTACGGAGGAGGGTAGGGGTCACATTAAACTTCAGAGGGGCGCAGTTAAAATTTTCAGTGTATGTTTTCTGTGTAAAAAAAGAATTATTCTCTCTATTTTGTTCAGTGGGATGTAGAAGGAGGAGGGGGGAGGGGCTCCCTGGATGTGCTCCGGGACGTATGGCCACCTCCCCGGAGAGATGCCTGGAAGAAACCCTAAACCCAGGTTTGAGTTGCGACGGTGTCTTAATTATCTTAGTTTAATTTAATTAAATAGACCAGTATATATATATATATATATATATATATATATATATATATATATATATATATATATATATATATATATATATATATATATCCCTCTTGATTGCTTGAAAAGTGGGCGCATCCATAGATATTTTGTATTACATTAAATGCGATACATGGTGTTTAAAATATCAAACTTGTTTATATATAATGTATACAAGGTTCGTATTATAATGAAACCCTCTGACCACGTAACACAGAAGAATTATATAAATTCATTACTGTTTGTACTACGTCAGGTACGTCATGTTTCCTATCGCCTCTGACACAGAAGGGCGCTAATCACACCTAATTCATCTGGCTTACTGGTGTTGATTGTGTGTTTCAGGCCAGGTTTCATTAGCTGACTTATCAGATTAGTTGTTTCAGCGCGGCATGTTTTAATGATTTAACAAAAAATGTTTTAATGATTTAAATACGAGGGTGTTGAAGTGCCAATAAAACAAATATGTAACGAACCAAGTATTGGTTTTTCGTTGATTTGCATAGTCTGAGTCCTAATTAGGGGCCCCAATTAAAACCCCGCAATTAATTAAATTGTTTGTTTAAACTAAGAAACTACGTATGCTGCCTGAATTTAATTTTTCGTAGTCCTAAACATTGGCTCAACATGTAGTAGATGTTTTGTTTTTTAAAAGAATAAAAACGGACCAAAATAGCACACCAGTAAAGGAGGGCCAACGAGACAATTAAGGATGGAGAGCTATGGATGACCAATATACTCCCTAATAAAAATGACCCCTCCATTCCTATTTCCCCAACCCTTATGAACAGAGTTTCTTTCAGGCATCTCTTCGGGGGGGGGGGGCAAAGCCCACCCGAAATTTTTTTACCGCCCCCACTAACGAAATGAAATTTATATAATTTATATAGAAAATATATACTTTTAACAGTGTCCGCCCCCCGAAGAAAGTTTACCGCCTCCCCCCCCCCCCCCCCCCCCCGAAAATTTCAAGTGCCCCCCCCCCCCCCCCCCCCGGAGAAAAAAGTCTGGAAGAAACACTGCTTATGAAAATGACCCCTATACCATTTTCCCCACCCCCTGATCAAGCTGCCCCCCGTGCCCCCCAAGCCACACCCACCTCGCACATCTTCCTGTGTGTGATGCCGATGTCCTCATACACGGGTACTGTCTCCAGACTGTGAGAACACCTGATATACAGGGCCGGCTTCACTTCCTCCTTCAGCTGTGTGATGGTTACATACATTGATTACATACTGGTTACATACATTGATTACATACTGGTTACATACATTCATTACATACTGGTTACATACATTCATTACAAACAGGTTATATTACTTCATTATATAATGGTTACATACATTGATTACATACTGGTTACATACATTGATTACATAATGGTTATATAACTTCATTACATACTGGTTACATACATTGATTACATACTGGTTACATACATTGATTACATACTGGTTACATACATTGATTACATGTTGGTTACATACATTCATAACATACATTCATTACATACTGGTTACATACATTCACTACATACTGATTACATACATTGATTACATAATGGTTACATACATTCATTACATACTGGTTACATACATTCATTATATATTGGTTATATAACTTCATTACATACTGGTTACATACATTCATTATATATTGGTTATATAACTTCATTACATACTGGTTACATACGTTCATTATATACTGGTTACATACATTCATTACACGCATTTTATATACATTCATTACATACTGGTTACATACATTGATTACATACATTCATTACATACATTCATTACATACTGGTTACATACATTCATTACATACTGGTTACATACATTGATTACATGTTGGTTACATACATTGATTACATACATTCATTACATACATTCATTACATACATTCATTACATACTGGTTACATACATTCATTATATATTGGTTATATAACTTCAATACATACTGGTTACATACGTTCATTATATACTGGTTACATACATTCATTACACGCATTTTATATACATTCATTACATACTGGTTACATACATTGATTACATACATTCATTACATACATTCATTACATACTGGTTACATACATTCATTACATACTGGTTACATACATTGATTACATAATGGTTACATACATTGATTACATACATTCATTACATACATTCATTACATACATTCATTACATACTGGTTACATACATTCATTACATACTGGTTACATACATTGATTACATAATGGTTACATACATTCATTACATACTGGTTACATACATTCATTATATATTGGTTATATAACTTCATTACATACTGGTTACATACATTCATTACATATGGGTTATATTACTTCAATAAATACTGATTACATACATTAATTACATACTGGTTACATACATTCATTACACACACGCGAACATAACATTGTTTAACACATTAATTACATAATACATGTACATTACATTGTGTGAAAAAAAGGCAATTTAAATATCAACATTTCTACATGTTTCACATGTTTTTATAAATACCCTGTATTTAACGCAAATCATCTCACCTGTATTTAACTCTAATAATCTGACCTGTATTTAAATCTAATAATCTAACCTGTATTTAACGCTAATATCTCACCTGTATTTTACGCTAATTATCTCACCTATATTTTAACGCTAACCATCTCACCGGGAATTAGACTCAAATCATCTCACCTGTATTTAAAGCAACTTATCTCATCTCATCATTTTAACACTTATCTCACCTGTATTTTGACGCTTATCTAACCTATATGTCAACGCTACTTATCTCACCTGTATTTTAACCCTTATCTCACCTGTATTTAACGCTACTTATCTCACCTGAATTTTGAAGCTTATCTCACCTGTATTTAACGCTACTTATCTCACCTGTATTGTAATGTTTATCTCACCTGTATTTTGATGCTGCTGCCGTGTAAAATCCCCAGATCAGAGAAGACCCAATGGTCGCCCAACTCAGCTCCAGCGTAGCTAAGGGCGAGCACTTTCTTGTCTTGTCTGAAAACCATACATTTAAAAACAAAATTCATAAAAAAACGTTTTAATAGCAAACTTTTATGTAATAATGCACTAAAAAGTAGAAAATCAATTATACACTACTATTTAAATAACTATAAAGAAAAATATTAGCCACTACTATTTAAATTACTATAAAGAAAAGCGTGGGTCGCTTTAGTATCTATAATTTAGATACCTTTACTAATATTTTGGAGGAAGCTCACGCTTTACTTTATAGGTATTTGCATAGTAGTGTATAATTTGCTTTCGTTTTCATTTGGTGTTCAAAATTATGTTAAAAAATTTGATGTTGATGTAGGCCTACTTGTTTTAATTGCAAATACAAGTATTAAAAAAAAAAAAAAAAATAATTTATTTACTACTTTTTAGTGCAATAATACATAAAAGGTTGTTATTAGTAGTATATTAGGTCCCTTTTGGAGCGAAGGCGCAGGCGCAGGCGCACCCAGGATGCGCAAAGGTTATATAGCAAAATACTCGGATGCGCAGGGGGATGCGCAGGCGCCGGATGGACAATGAGATATAGTAAAATACTCGGATGGGGATGGACAACGAGATATAGTAAAATACTCCAGCCGCAGGCGCAGGCGCAGGGTGGATGGACAACGAGATATAGTAAAATACTCCGGATGGGGATGCGGATGGGGATGGGGATGGTGATGCGGATGGGGATGGGGAGGATGCGCAGGGATGCGGATGGGGAGTAGGTCAGTAGGTCAGTAGGTCACCACCGGCGACCTTGTGACGTAATCAGTGATCTAGTTACGTAATTTTAATGAGTTTTTAATTAGTTTTAATGAGTTTTTAAAATTTTAATTAATTTTTGACCTAGTTACGTAATTTTAATGTGTGTTTTTTTTTTAAATTAATTTGATTTTAATTACTTTGTTTGTGTTTTGTTTGTTTATTTTTAATAACTTTAATTAATTTGATTTTTATTTATTTTGTTTTGTATTTGTTTGATTTTAATTTTTTTTTTAATTATTTTTATTTTGTTTTTTAAATTTTAATTAATTTTAGTTTGATTTAATTGATTTGATTTTAATTTATTAAATTTTTAAATTTTAAATTTTAATTTTAAATTTAATTGATTTTAATTACTTTGTTTGTATTTTGTTTGTTTATTTTTAATTAATTTTAATTTTTAATTAGTTTAATTATTATTAACTAGTTACGTAATTGGATTTTAATTTTTTTAATTTTTAAATTTTTAATTTTATTTTATAATTAGATTAATTATTATTAACTAGTTACGTCATTTGATTTTTTAATTTTTTTAAATTTTAAATTTTATTTTATAATTAGTTTAATTTTTATTAACTAGTTACGTAATTTGATTATTTGTTTGATTTAAATTGTTTAATTTGTTTGTTTACATGTTGTTTGATTTAATTACTTTGTTTATATTGTGTAATTTTTATTAACGAGTTACGTAATTTGATTATTTGTTTACTTTGTTGTTTAATGTTGTTTATTTATTTGAATGTATGTATGTTTTAAATAAAAGACTAACACTAGCATGTACTAGAACAGTCTTTGTATAGGGACCATTCTCCAACACAACGAACGTTACAAAAATAGAACATCCATTAAAGATAACGATCAGCCACAGCTGTTACGTATCGACCCGACCGCGAAGTTTTCTCACCGCTGCCCGTTTTAATGGGAATGTATTGATCGCAGCCGCTGGCCCATCACACCTAATTAAATTTTTGTTATGCTTCACCGAGTTTCCCCCGCTCGGTGCGACAGCTGGTGGTGTAATTAGGTTGAGCAACCGGACATTACCTTGTTGGTTTTCTAGTACGCGTATGCTACACGTATATACACACACACATAATCACAGAAACTTACTTTCTTACTTTTATATTAAAAGACAAGTATGTGTTATTGTTTTGTTACTTGTCCCCGAAAGTTATGTAACTCGGTATCCTATATAAGATGTATGACTGGAAGCAAAATCAACCATTTAAAACGATGGATCCGAGATGGAAACATCCCTTTACCGCTCTGATCGCTGGGCCAACTGGGAGTGGTAAAACAGTATTTGTCAAAACCTTTTTATCCCAGGTGTCAGAGATGATGGATCCGGCACCCGAGGAAATTTATTACTGTTACGGGGAGTGGCAACCTTTGTTTGATACCATAAAGAACGTTCAGTTTGTGGAAGGTCTTCCTGACTTAGAAAATGGATCAATGGGGGATGGAAAACGTCGACGTCTAGTCGTCATCGATGATTTGATGGCGGAAACAGATGAGCGAATTACAAAATTGTTTACGAAAGGGAGTCACCATCGTAATATTAGTGTCATGTATATTGTCCAAAACCTATTCGGGAAAAATAAAGAACAAAGAACCATCAGTCTCAATTCGCATTACATAGTGTTGTTCAAGAACCCTAGAGACGGTTCACAAATTACAAATTTGGCAAAACAAATGTATCCCGGTCGCGTTTCGTATGTCCAGGAAAGTTTTAAGGACGCAACATCGGCCCCTCATGGTTATTTGTTGATCGACCTTCGACAGGAAACACCGGATAATCTGAGATTACGCAGTAGTATCTTTTCTTACGAGCAGCAAGTCGTTTACGTCCCGAAATAAAAGCAACCATGTCTGAGTCGGTAAAACAACAAGGTGAGATGTTAAGGTTTTTGGCTCGGGCCAAACCACCCGCCGTGAAAGCCGTTGTCGAAAATGCTACCCCACAACTCGTAAAAACGTTATGCGAGTGCTGTCACAATGTCTTAAAAGGCAACGTTCCCCTCACGCCCGGTCAGAAGAGACGTTTGCGTCGTCACAAAGTGAACTTGAGACAACTTACCAAAAAGTCATTGACCGTCAAAAGACGAAAGCAAATTTTGCAGACCGGTGGTTTCCTAGGTGCTTTACTCGGACCAGTTCTCGGTGTGCTTAAAGGTGTCTTGGGATTTTAAAGATGGCCAGGAAAATGCTTTTAATGGATCCTCGAATATTAGAGTCTATGCAACAAAAAGCATATGTACCACCCGATACACTCAACGATAGTCTACGCCTTTTGGATATGCAAATGGAACATATCTTAAATAGGGAAGATTTGTCACCACACGACAAAGTGAGACAATATCAAAAGACACTACAGCTCTACACGACGCGACTTAGCGATTATAGAAACAAGTCCCTAGGATTAGTCGATGTGAAACCATCCACCGTGAATACCCCAACGACCGAGGTTGAAAAACCACAAGAAAACATAACCGAACCTAAAAAAGAAACGATAGACATAACAGAATCTGAAACTAAAACGAAATCCGGCTCGCCTGACTCTGATATTCACCCCTCGAAGAAAACGAAGACACACGTAGAAAAAACACCACCATCGAAACGTACCAGAAGTAAGAAAACTAAAACAAGCACTACCAAATGGGACGCGTGGGAAAAAACCAAACACTAAAAAGACATTACTATGATCCTAGTAGACCAGGTGCCTACGGCGGCGTGTTTAAGCACCCTGAAATTGGAACTAAGAAAATTAAAGAATGGTTAAGTCATCAGGATACCTACACGTTACATAAACCTCTTCGGCGACGCTTTCAGAGGCGCGCCACCATCACCGGTGGGATAAATCACCAGTTTCAAGCGGATCTTATAGATATGCGCATGTTACGAAAGTACAATGGTGGTGCTTCTTACCTAGTGACCTGCATCGATGTGTTTAGCAAATTCGCCTGGGCGATTCCGATAAAGAAAAAAACGGGTAAGGCTCTAGCGGAGGCCGTACGTAAAATATTTACTACTAGAAAACCTATAAATTTTCAAACAGACAAAGGTAGTGAATTTGTCAACAAGACATTTTAAAAATTTCTTAAAGATGAAGGCGTTCATTTCTTTACCACTGAGAATGAAGATATTAAGGCGGCTATAGTTGAGAGATTCAATCGAACATTAAAAGAAAAAATGTGGCGGTACTTTACAAAAACAAATCGTCTTCGTTACATTGATGTCGTAGACGACTTGATCACCAACTATAACCACTCGTACCATAGGAGTATTCGTATGGCCCCTGTGAATGTTAATTTGTCTAATCAAGAAAGGGTCTGGAATACTTTATACGAACATGGGGACATTACTTATCGAAAAGTATTTAACGAAGGTGATCGTGTACGGATCGGCCAAAGCCGAAACACGTTTAAAAAGGGTTATACCCCGTCGTGGACGGAAGAACTGTTTACGGTGAGCCGCGTGAACGCGACAACGCCTGTAACATACGTCTTGAAAGATGATTCAGGTGAAGAAGTGAAAGGTTCGTTTTACAAAGAGGAGCTTCAGAAAGTGGGGGACAAAAAAGTGTACCGCGTCGAACAAATTATACAAGAAAGAAAGGGTGTCGGTGGTAAAGAGTATTTAGTCAAGTGGTTCGGTTATAACCCTTCATTCAACAGTTGGATTTCAGCTAGAGACATTTCGAAATATAAAGACTAAGGATGGAGGAAACGGTAAAAAGCCTAAGTCTGGATGACCCCGTGTTGGAAGAAACGCTCAGACCGCTCGGTGGGATCGAGGTGAGACCCAGATCCACCACGTCTTCTATCGGTTCGACCATTTCGAGTTGGTTCGGTAGACTAAGGACACGACCGGAAATCGTTTTCATCTCTCAAATGTTGGTTATATTTGTCGTCATTGCTTTTTCACTATTTAATCTGACGCGTGGAACGGTCGACGACAAAGAGGGAAAACTCTGGGTCGTGTTGTTATCCAGCTGTCTCGGATATATTTTACCTAACCCAACCATTGCAAGGACCAAAATTTTACAATGAGTTTTTATGTGACCCTGCCTAGCAATACATCACCGAATGTTTTTCCAGACAACGAGGCTGGGCATTTTTTCGTTAAATTACCACAGACTATCGATGTGAGTTTACACTACGAAGTTGGTCTGGTCGAGATTCAAATGCCGAACGCGTTTTGTATGCTTAGAGAACATCAAATTTGGCTCCAGTATC